TGCCATCGTGACTTTTTTACAAACCAGAGCCCAGAATCAGTCAGAACCCATTAAAATGTGGTCCCAATCTGCCGGGATCGKGATGCCATGAGCCAGCAAAGGAAGCTGAACGCATTTGTGTGCCTGCCTGGTTCTGCTTCTTCAGCTCAGGAATTTGGGAGGTGGAATCGTTCCTCTGGCTGCTGCAGCCCTCTCGTGGCCACACTCCTGCTGCTGGGAAAGCACGGTCTAAAATTCCCCGCGGGAGGAGAGAGCATCTTTTAGAAAGCAAAACAAAGTTATTAAATAGCGCGTTCACCRAAGGATAAATATATAAATAAATAGAACAGACACTCAGGATGCTTTTTATTCCAGGTGCACAAGCAGAGCTGTTGATAAATTACTCGCTTTTGAAGAATCAAAGGGAAAAYGACGCATAAAGCATTAGCAGCCGTGTTTTTAACGGGGTTTCATCTCCCCAGCCTGTCACTAAACAGGCTGCTTTGAAGTGCTCCTCTTCTTTTGAGCRTTTGCACATTGATTTACAACGGTGTGGGTAAATGTGGTGCTCACAGATGGATCTTGCTGAGTATCTGCTTATTGGAAATGTGGCTATCTGCTCAGGAAGCTCCAAGGAGGGGKGGAAAACCTCTTGGCTTGGGCAAGATCTTGGTAAATCTGTATTGTGACTAATTTCTGCAAAGCCTAMCAGGTAGATTTTCCTTTGGAGCTTGAAAAGCAAGCCTGGTTTTTGGCACCTTTTGTTTTTCCTCTTAATCTACCAGGTAAGAGACAGAGACACGGCTGCTGACTGGAAATCCATGGGAATTCATGGCAGGAGGAGAGCACTGAAGGGAGGAGGGCTGAGAGCCTGTCCCACAGCCCAGCTGCCCACTGCCTGCCCAGATCTGGGAGCCAGCACCGGCAAAGGAGATGCCGATGGAATAAACAATAGGATGGATCAAAGGGAGAAGCTTGGGCACAGGTATGGGGCACTCTGGAGGAGCTTGGCCAGTTTTGATTGATGTTTCTTGAACCGACAGCAAACGGTACTTGCAGGCCAGGGTGYCTCAGTCGTGCCAGGGAGATGGTATTATGCTACTGTTTTCCAATTATTTTGCTCATTTTTTTTCCCCCTCACAGTAGTTTCAGGAGAAATGGCTGTGTCTCAAAAAGATGTAATAAAAACCAAACCTAAAAAAAAAAWGCCTGAAAAAAYGGAAGGAYTGAGTGGAAYSACAGTGATTCCATGGGCTCAYTGCCTTTTCAGRCAGGCCTCCCCTCTCCTCYGCATCCTCAGGCTCATCTTTCTCACTCACATGAAACCCTTAATCCTTCCATAAAATGCTACTTTGCATGGTTTTTGTTTTTAACTAAATAACCTCTTTGCTCTTCATTTTC